CTACTAATCCTAGTATCTAGGTTATATGAAGATTTCTATTACCTGCTTTTTTTAAGTCATAAAGCCGTATCTCCTAATATCTCATTGTCTCTGATTACTGCTAACAAGTTGCACAGACTAAACTTATTAAAATCATACTTTGGAGTATGAAGCTGCATTCGAAAAGGCTAAATTATTACAGGCTTAAATTATTGATGAATTACCTTGATTTTGTGGAGATTTCATTTTAAATTGTTAAAAGTTTTGTTCTTAGTTTTAATACAAATCTCTAGTCTTCAGCACAGTCTTTATTATGAGTTCATTCTGGTGTTTTAATGGGTAGTTCAAGTTGTTACGAAGCACTTCTAACATGTTCAGATTCACTGGAAAATTTCTTCTCTTGGAATAGAGAGCAATCTCTGTTCTGCTTCTTAAGTCTTCTAGCTGTGGCTCCCACCTGGGCCCAGGGAGTCTTCCCTGCATATGCACAAGTTAGGAGTTGGCCAAGGGCTTAAAGAAAAACAGAGGTCTGGCATCTTCATTGGCACCTTGATTTCTAAGATTTGTTACTTCAGTTTCCAATTTGATCCTCTAAAACCTCAAGCTCGGAAGATTGCAACTTTTCTAGAGACCGTTTTCACCAGAAGTATAGGAATGCCTTCAAGGGAAAGGCTGTGTTAAAACGTTGTCAGCCTGCTTTTTGGGACTCTTTAGTCTCTTCAGACAGTAACTGATTATACTCGTTCAGAGTTTATAATTGGGAAGGATTGTACATTACAAGCTATAGCACAGTACCAAAGCCAGAAGTTCTTTGTCCTACATTTCTTTTTTTAAATTTTTTTATTATAAAGAGGATAAAACCAAGAAACATAAAACAGAATAAAAACCAATCAAAATAAACCAGTATAAGTGATACAGGACTTCAAAATTTTACAAAATCAACAATAATGCCTTTTTTTGTCTTCAAAATAGCTGTAGATACCTTCAGATATAGTAAAAATCAAACAGAACAGAAACAATAAAAACAAAACAATGAATGCAATAAAGGACTTTAAGCCAATAGTAAGTCCATTATGGCTACCATAATATGTATCTTTTAAATAACTATTTGTGCCACAAGATTTAACATAATCAAACAAAAAAGAGTAAAATGCAGTCCAACAAAACAATGAAAATGATGTGGTTTCCAGGCAGGGTCTGGAAACCAGACCCTCCTGGTGAGGCCTGCATCGTCGCCCTCCCCTCCCCCCCAGTCCACACATGGCACTCACCCCCCAGTCCACTCATGGCCTCTGCTTGGGTGTGGCTGTCCCTACTCCAACAGCAGCCTGTGGCACTGGTTTCTACGTGGGGATTACCTCCTTGTGAGCCCTGGTTCTTTCCCCCTGCAGTCTGCAAACAGCATCGACTCACAAAGAAAGAGGCTTGGGTCTAGTTTTCCCCACTCTGGCAGTGGCCTGTGCATGGTGCTGGTTTCCAAGTGGGGACCACCTCTTGTTGAGGCCTCTTTTCTATAATTCTTAAATGTCTGGCATAATGCCACAGAAGCAAATAGTACAGAACTGACTGAAAAGTATGTGGTTTTCTGCACTTTTGTGTGTAGTAAACTGAAAATGGGTTATCTCAAAATCTTTTATCCCAAAAGAAATAAGTAAAAGTAATTTCTAGTTCAATTATACCAGAAAATAGGGAAATTTTTCTTCAACTTTCAATGAATTTACTAAGCAAAGAAGTCAAAATAATTAGGCCATGGAAATACTCAGAATATGACTAATAGAACTAACATGTAACAAAGCTATATTTATTCCAAACTAACAAAATATTAAATTATGATCATGAAATATAAATTAATGTTATTTAAAAGTAGTAAAAGTGAGATCATTCATGAATGTGTTATGGTACATTAACTGAATTAAGTGATATGAAAACTTCAGCTCCATCTATTGTTACCCTCAATCCAAAATTTTAAAAATTTTGTTTTGTACTCAGCAAGTTTCCCATTTCTCTGTGTGGAGGTGAAAGATGCTACTTAAAACCAAATAGCAACTATACATGGCTGGCTGAACATTTATAATTAAACAATTCTATAACTTCCAAATACAGCAGAATAGAGACAGATCCATCTCTGCTTGCTGGCTGCAGTGACCAGAAGGCTCCTTCCTGTGGTCAGTCAAATGGGCAGAGAGTTAATCAGATCGACCTTGGCCTGTTGGCCACTGCCATCAAAAGGTTCCTTCCTGCAGGCAGCCAATGCAGCAGAGAGCAGGGACACACAGCCAGGAAAGCCCCATGTACTCCAGCCAACATGGGAAGTGCCTGGGGCCCCATAACCACCTTGTTGGGAGGAACCCAAAAGGATGTCAAGATTATGGAGCAAAAGGCAATCTCAGACCTCCAGCCCACACAGAACAAGTCTGGGAGATACAGTCATGGAAGAAAGCAGAAGTCACACACCTGAAATCTCTGAGAGGATATCAAGTAGAGAAACAACTTCATGAGACTGTGAAAGCAATCAAATCAGAAATGCCTCAGATATAAGAAGAAATCACAAACATAATGAAAGAAATGCTCATCACATCTAAAAAAAGACATAGATAAAAAAGAGGAGCATAGGAGTTATGATGGAAACCTTGAATGAACAATATAGAAAGGAATTATAACGCATGAAACAGATTCAAAGAGAGATCCAGGAAATTAAAAACTCAACCAAAAGCTGGTAAAATTGCTTGAAAGAGAATGAAGATAGACTTTCAAACCTAGAAGATAGGTTTGCTACTAACGATTGTGAAAGATCTCTTTAAAATAACAGGGAATCAGGAAATAACAATTCAATGGCTATAAGATGACACAAAGAAGCATAATGTAAGAGTGACAGGTATTAGTGAAGAAGCAGGGCTCAACACAAATGAAATTAAAGGCATATTTTCAGAAGTCATAGCAGAAAATTTTCCTAACATGGAAAAAGGATCTGGCATATACATAAGTGAGGTATATAGAACTCCAACTAGCCATAACCAAAGTAAATCTATACCCAGACATATAATAATCAAGATCCCAAAAATTCAGCATAAGAACAGAATATTAAAAACTGTTAGAAAAAGAAACAGATCAACTATAAAGGAAAACCAATCAGAATCACGGCAGATTTGTCAACACAAACCATCAAATCAAGAAGAGTTCAGAGGGAAAGTGTTTCAAATCCTGAAAGAAAACAACTTCCTCAAAAAAAAAAAAAGTAATAAGAACTAAAGAGTAATAAAACCCAAAATGTGTAAATTTTGTTGTAAAAAAGAGAGGGGAAAAAAAGTGCTCTAAAGGATACAACTGCAAGTGTGTTTTTAAACAGCTGACCATATTAATGTTTTTGGTTGGAGCATTGAACACAACTGTTTGCAGTTTCTCTGTTTGAATGTTCACTTTGTATGCTTTGATACTGTGACTTGAGCAATTATCTCTAAGATGATAATGTGTAATCTATTAATTAGTGATTTGTTTTTTTTTTTTGTAGTTCTGTATTATTTGTACCCTTACACTGCTTTGTTTTGTTTTGTTTTTTCTCTTTTTCCTTTTAAATAAAATTTTAAAAAAAGAAAAAAGAAAACAACTTCTAACCCAGATTGATGTACCCTGCAGAACTATCTTTCAAATTTGATGGAAAAATAAGATACTTCCATGATAAAGGACAATGACCACCAAACCAAACCTACAGAGAATGCTAAAGTATATTCTAGAGAGAGATAAAGATGATCACAGTTCCAGGAACAGCAGCAGAGGAGGACTGCCAAACAAGACAGGAAACTGAATGAAAAGGAAAAATGGAGGGCCAACTAGCTTGTAACCATTAATACAGATGGCCTCAATTCAGCAATAAAAAGAAATACAGGGAGAGTAGATCAGGAAACAAGATCCCCTGATATACTATATACAAGAAACACATTTTACTGGAAAAGAAATTCATAGATGAAAATCAATGGAGAAAAAACAATTGTTTCATGTGACAGGAGACCAGAAAAAAACAAGAGTAACTTTTCCATCAACCACAGAATGGTTAGGAAACATATGGTATTTTTCATACAATGGAAGCCACAAAGTAGCTTTTTTCATACAATGGGAAGCTATAAAGTAGAATAATCTCCAGGCTCTTTTAAGTAAATGGAGGCAATTGGAGGGCATGTTCATGGGTTAAACAGTTTGAATTCATATGGATGAACCCTAGCATAAAAAACAAAACAAACGAACAAACAAAACAAAACAAAACAAAACAAAACACAGGAGGAGTTAACGGGATCCAAACAGAAAAATAGTTATTGTAAAAGTGATAGGGGAGGAAACACCTAGAACAGAAAGATGGTAACTAATGTTAATATCTTATTGTCTTGTCTGGAACTCTTATATTGTTTTCATAATTTTGTTAGGTTTGGCTTTGTTCTGTCTTTTTGTTAGATTTTATTTTGTCTGATGGCATGGACAGGTATTTTGAAGAAAACAAGACATTATGATAGCCATTTCTGATTTGCTATCATCTTGTTTTGAAGTCTTATCATGCTTTTATTCTTTTGTTTAGATTTGGTTCTATTCTGTTGCATTTTATCTGATTTTGTTATATATGATAGTATGGACAACTTTTTTGAGAAAAATGAGATATTATATAACCATTGCTCATTTCCTATTATCTGGTTTTGAAGTCCTGTAATGCTTTCATTCTTCTGATTGGTTTTATACTATTTTATTATGTTGAACGTTATCGTATGAAAAGGTATGGTCAGCTATTTCGAAGAAAACAAGACATGGTAGCCACTATTGATATCCTATTATCTGGTTTTGAAGTCCTATGTTGCTTACATTGTTCTGTTCTGATTTGCTTTGTTGTGTTCTGTTTTGTTCTGTTCTATTCCCTTTAAAATAAAAAAAATTTAAAAAAATACAGCAGAATATGAGTCACAAAATTAGGATGTTCGCTAAGACCACTTGTCTTGGTTACTTTTTTCTCATTGCTGGGACAAAATATCTGAGACCCAAAATGAAGGAAAGAAAGGTTTATTCAGCTCACTGTTGTGGAGGTTTCAGTCCATAATCAGCTGGCTTCAAAGCAGGTGGCATGGCACTGGGGCAACACTTCCAGGCAGCAGCCAGAGCAAAAAGAAAGAAAACAAGCCTCTTCTCCTGGCTTTATTATACACAGCCCTCCCCCATCCCACCCGAACCCCTGGGCAGGTGTATCACTCAAAAAATCTCCTTGCCCTCCTTTGGACCGGATGAGGATATTTTAAAGTAAGAACCCTGGTTCCCTGCTGAGTCTCTCAGTTAAATTTCTCAATCTGACACAATGTATCAACCATAATAACACTCAATTCAGAGGAGTGTCATTCTGCAGCTCAGGCTGCAGTCTGAGTCCCCCAAGCTTTAAGCACATGAAGAAAGGTAGAAATGTATTCTTCCTACCTCTGTTTCTGCTTTTAAAGGATTCTGTCTGTGGACATCTACCCACACGTTTTCCAGTTTGGTCTGCTACAAGGGTGTACATCCTGAAAAGCTGCTAAAATAGCACAACTGATGATATCACAGGGAAAACACTCATTGCCACAGGAAACCCATCAGTGTTGAGACAACTCCTTTCTTTTTTGGAAACTTGTTATTGTTACTTTTAGACAAATTAAAAAGACCTATTTCATACGTCATACAAATAAGTGTACATTCATATCTGGTTGAATTTAATGTGCAACCACAGAAAATGTCCATGTTCGGAGTCTATTAGTCTTTTTCTGGTATGGAAAACAGACTTAACATCTCCATCTCCAGTGGATGCATGCTGCCTCCTGTGATGATCAAGGAATGCAGTGGTCCTCCCAAATCCACAGTACTCATCTGCTGTAGGGTGCCTGCTGCAATTTTCTGGTCCTCAGCGCCTACCCTGGCTAAGCCAGCACAGAGTGTCTCTTCAGTAATTGCTATTAAAAAAAAAAGAAGAGGAAGAAGAAAAAGAGGAAAAAGAAAAGGAGGAAGAAAAGGAAGAAGGCGAAGAAGGAGGAGGAAGAGGAGAACATACAGCCATTCAGTTCAGCAAATGCAGTATCTGTTTGACATTCAAAAACATTACTATGACAAATTTATTTTTTAAAACCTCACATTTTTTTTTTTTTCATTTTTGAGATAGGATCTCGTTATGTAGTTCAGGCTGGTCTTAAATTCACTCTGAAGCCCCAACTTGCCATGAACTCACGGTGGTCCTCCTGCCTCAGCTTCCTGAATGCTAGAATTAGAGATGTGTGCCACCACATCTGGCAAAAGTCCCAAATATCTTTAGCCAATCACTACAGACCAATTACTTTACCTCTTGAAAATTTCAAAGGCTTACATGAATCCAGGTTATTAAGAACCTGATAAACAATAACTATATTCATACTCCCTATAATTGCACAGTATATGTCTTAAATTCTGAGTGAACATATTTATGACATATGTATATTTTTAATAAATTCTTGAAGCCTGACATGGTGATACATGTGTGTAATCCCAGCAATCCCAGGCTGAGGCAGGAGGAAACTCCATGAGTTCAAAGCTACCCTGAACTACATAGCGAGACCCTGCCTGAAAATTCAAAAATAAAATAAAATAAAATAATTCTAGAGATACATTCATATTGAGAAAGAAAAACCAGGGGACTATGAAATAAATACATGGATTTGAGTTTCTGCTTGCCTACATAATTACCTATGTGTCATATCTCAGTTTTCTAAATGTAATACTATCTCTCTGAAGTGTTAATTATGAGGACTAAGATAATGGCTACAAGACTATTTAGTAAACTGTAGAACCCTTAACAAAAATAGGCATTTTGGCAATACTTATACTTTTAATTTTAGAATTTTAGTACAATCTACTCTGGTTCTACAGCTGAAAGGCTGATCTTTTAAATGGTTTCTTTCTTTTCAAAAGTTTATTTGAAAAAGTAAAGAGTATGAGGAAAAACTGGCTCTGCAAAGTGAGCTTGGATCAAGTGAAAGAAAAAAAAGCAAGATAAAAGAACAGCCTGGAAAAAGCAGGATGGACTGTCATGAGCTATGATAGCCAGTTTCACTGTTTAGTTGGGAAAACTGTCTTGATTGAATAGTGATCAGAATGAAGCAGTAAGCTACCTGGTATAAGGCAGGAGAAACCAGGCAGATGGAAGCCCAGCCTGGTCACCTGGTGAGTCCTTGTCACAAAATAAAAAATAAAAAGGACTGGAGATTCAGTTCAGTGGTACAGCAATGCTGGATTCAGTCCCCAGGACTGTCCCCAACAATGGGGACACAAGGAACACAAGGAAAAGTAGATATGCAAGGAATTCTTCACCAAGTCATAAATACAGAAAATCCTTGACAACTATGTGTTTTACAAATGTAGTAAGGTGTATTAATGAAAATAAAATATGCAACAATTACTCACAAATCTCTTAATGATTTTGCTATCAGAGGATAAGTACTCAAAAGCAGTTAACACCTTGTAACAGAATATGATAGGTTTAAAAACTTCTTAATAAATTTACTGAAATTACACATTTTAGAATGTGTGCAAAATCTATGTCTATTAGGAATGCAAGAATAAACTGTCTTGTTTTTACCCTAAAGAAAAAGTAGGAAAAAAAATATTTTTGCAAGATAGATTTCACCACTAATTAGGGCTAAAATGGAAGCTCTCTATTTTATCAAAATATTTACATATTAATATCAAATGTGATTATACATAATTAGTAAAAAAAAACCGCTTTATTTCCTAGAATGTTCTTAATTTTATTGTAAAGAACTCCATTTTTTTTTTGTACAACTGGAAACTTGTGGGATTAAAGTTAAAATCATAAAAAAATGAGAAATAGTACAAAAGCAAAAGCACTGACTCTTGTTCCAATGGTAGCATAAATATGTCTGTAACAGATATTAAATCACACAACCTTCTCAGGATAATGATTAGGGAACAATATGAGGGCCTTCAGGAGGTCGGGAGTACCTGGTTCTTCTCCTCCTACTCTTCGATTTTGGACAATTTCCAGAAGCTGCTGGGCTGCTTGGTTTACACTCATATACCGAGGTGGTTCATAGATCTTCCTTCCCCTATAAATATAAAAGTAGACGCCATCATTTTTGGACATGTAATTACACAGCACACTCATGAAGCAACTGTTCCATCATGTAGAATCAAGAAATACAGCCCATATTGTTAGAAGTTTTCACATGATGCTACCCATACATCAAAACATGACTCCAGTGATAGGTAAGTTTCTTAAACCTTATTAGCATTATTCTACTTTAATATCACAGAGATGATGGCAGAAATAAAAATCCAATAATTGATAGATGTCTATATCAAAGTTAATGTTTATTTAAAATAACGCCTTACGCAAAAATAACTATTAAGTATCAAGTTGTTTAGGATAGTTAGGTTCTAGAGTGTTAGTATTTGTTTTTAATTTTTATATTTTGTGATAATTGAGATCAAACACAAGATCATATATATGCCAGGCATCTTTTATTAACATGTCTAAATTACTTAGGCCTTTTTTTCACTTCTGCTCTAAGCAAGGGCAAGCAGTAAAGACCTGAAAAGTATTGGTAGTGATTATGTTACTTCTGAATGCCACAAAAGCCTACCAATTTCACCCAATGATCATAACAATAAAAATGTAAACTTGCAAGTTATAAAACAGTTCACACTGATTACCTCAGAGACCCACACAACATTCTGTGAGTCAGTGCTATCTAATGAAATGTCCTATTTATTGGAAATTTTAAAGGTCACAACACAATTTCAAATTTTCTAGCACCACATTAAAAGCTTTCAAAACACAAAATTAATTTTACTAATATATTTTGTTTAACCCAATAGATCCAATACATTACATTTTAATATTCACTCACATAAAAATTAATAAAGGCAGCATGGCAGAGGACTCTGTCACGCTCCTCCATCATGCCAGCTGACTATGGATAGAAAGTTCTATAACTGTGAGCTAAAATAAACTTTTCCTTTCACTTGTGGGTATCAAGGATTTTGTTTCAACAAGACAGTTAAATACACAACACTGTTGTCAGTGTTGAATTTATGAAATCCACTCTATTTCCATTTTATCACATTGCTCATCATTTTAGAATGTATTTAATGTTAGCTGTTAATAAAAGCTAATTTTCAACAATCTTTAGAACGCATGTCATTTAAGTAGTATTTATTGCTTTGCTTGAAGAATTAAAATACATAGAAGCATTCTTAGAACATGAACTTACTTGATTAGATTTTCCACAGATTGCTCCTTTACTTTGATGTCTGTAAGGAATTAAAAAATAGTTCTTTGAATTTAACTAATCCCTTAAATTTCAGTTAAGAGTAAGCTAAATTTTTGGAAAACATTCTTCCCAGATTCCCAAAATGCTGATCTGAGAGTTTGCACAGTCTATGTACACTTACTACATCTAGCCATTCTGTTATGGAAATTAGAGAGGAATAGAAGCTGGTGGTTGTGTAATGGACACTAGTTAAAAGCCAACGTGAACTGGCTCTGAGATCACCCTGAAGGGATCTAACTTTCTGCTAGAAAAGAAAAGAAAAAAATTACAGAAATATTGATATATATACTACCCAACAGCTAATCATATTTGTTTTTATTACTACTAGATTGTAACTACACAAAGTCAACTAAAATCTTGCTATTAGTGGAACTTTGACTTATAAACTCGATTTATTCCCAAACGTTCGTTATAACTCAAGCTGTCAATTGCAGGCGCAGGCTCCCCTACACAGCCTCTCCCCCGTATACAGGCAGACCTCGGTGTCCTTGGAGAGACGTTGGCCCTTTTCTCTTATTAGCCTCATATAGGAAAGAATGTTGTCATTTTCCTTCCAAAACTCTTTAAGATTTAAATCTGTATCTGAGATTATCTGGAAACACAAGGCCTTATTCAGGTCATAACTCAAAACTTCAATCGTAAGTTAAAACTAAAATTCCGGTCATAAACCAAATTATTTGTGTGTCAGGCTGGTCATAACTTGAGGGTCCAGTGTAGTCCTGTTTTTATACACTTTCAGGCATCAGAATGTAAAAGCTTCAGAGGATATGTTGCATTTTGGAAAAAAAAATGCTTTCTTCTAGAAGGTAAGTTATGCCATAATTATGAATAAATATTTTGCTTATACTTTTAACAGGGGTTTCAGACCACTGACTGTATGAGACACTGTGTTGGGAACTGGACTACCATAAGGACCACCTCAGACATACCCTCTGCTCTTGTGGAGCTTACTGGTCCGTGTATTGCATATACTTGATTCTTTACACTTTTAGTCACTGATGCCCAGCTGAATAACTTTGAAAAATGTAAAAAAGCAGAATCACTGTACGTCCTCACAGGAACTCTGTATACAACAGTAAGAGTAACAGCTGCTTCCTGTTGGACATGCCAAAACAAACGATTCAGCCAAAGTTTGTTTTTTGCAAAAATAAATACAGTACAACTGAGGAGTTTCTGATAGACTTCTATAACTTTCTTAAGTGATTAAAGTTCGTCTTATAAAGGATACTAAAGTGTTATGTAGCATATATGCACACGTATATAGTTTTAAGTGTTCCTAGAACCAGTGCTGAAATATTTTTCAGTTTTCCAATATTATTGATAACTGAAACATTTCTGCTTGCTGGCACACATGGGAAAATGAAAAATGAATACCTGTTCTACCCTCCAATATAATTAATGGTGTATGTCAACTGTTAGATTTCCTTTTAATGATATTTCTAAGATATTTAAAAGTTCAATATATTAGTTCATTCACAATGAGTTCTAAAATATTATTTTGATAGTAAGATCTTTCATATTTTCAATTTTTTTTTTTACTTTTTTAATGATATTGTTTATAGAATGTGATTTTTTTCCCCCAGTAGTGGGGATTGAACCAGAGACTTTCACATGCTCGGGCATTTTTTTTTTTTTTGAGACAGATTGTCACAGAGTTGAGCAGGCTGGTCTCAAACTTTGAATCCTCTTGCCTTAACCTCCCAGAGCGCCAATATTACAGGTATGTACCATCACACATAACTAGGACTCTGATCTTTAAAATGAAAGGAGTTGGGAGAATTTTTCCAGCCAAGTACTTTTAGTTGAATGTAAGACTGCATTCGTGAACTAGTCTTAAACTAGAAAAGTTTTAGTACTTTGTCCTTGAATTTCCACAGGCCATAATTTTTCTCTATGCCCACCTGCGAGACAGCAAGTTTCTACTCATCTTAGTACCAGGTCATAGCATAACATAAAGTATCCAGTAGACACCTCGTATCCCTGAATAAAGTTATCACATGACTTTCCTACCACCCACTTACCAGCTCATCTCAAACGATCTACCCTTTAAGTGACATTAAATTGCGATTCCTTCATAAAGTCTTTTGTTGACTTACCTGCTTTTTATTGATGGAAAGTTATACAACTAATGATATCTTTTACTATGAATCTCTAGATACATTACATATATTGGTCTTATCTCTCAAACAAAGCTTGGGTTCTCTGTGGTTTCCTACCATGATTTACAGTTTACTCTCAACTCATCCACAGGGGGTTTGGCCCACAGCAAGCATTCAATAAATATTTACTAATTTAAATGATGAGAAATCCAGATGATTAAGTGAGGACATCTATGGTTGGAAGGCTTGGAATCACGACATCCTATACTTTATACCTTGTTCCTGCTTTTGTTAATGGAGCAAGGTTATTGTTTAACCTTGTTTGTCTCTTCTCAGGAAAGCTAAGTAAAAAGAGACAGCTCTTAGAGAACTCAAAAGCTGAAGCTCTGATTTGTTCTTCCTGTCTCTCTATACAACAAAACTTAATTGTTCCTTAAGCTTCCATGTGCATAATGCATTAGTTCAAAACTAGATTTCAAAACTTCCTTGGTATTTCAAAAGAACATATTTCCACATTGGGCATTGAGTAGCCACTCCATAAATATCTGAAAACTGATTTCTGCTTGCCTTTTCAAAGCTTTCCAAAAGATAAATACTGCTTGCTCTGCATCTTGTTTTAATAGATACATAAGAGGTTATCAAATAACCCACTTTTTCTACTCTTCTTTCCTTGTTCTGTTTTAAAAACTCTCACTCAGCCTTGTTATAAAATACATCTATTCTACTAAATGAGCTCCAATAGGTTTCTATACTTCTGCCATTAACACAGTCCCTTTAACAGCTGACCCTCCCACATCACTCTACTTTGAGCTTCAATCTACTGTTGGCTTTAATTGGATCTAAGCTTGTACTAACAAAATAGATGTAACTGACGGCATGGGCCACCCCAATTAATGAGCGCTTTATAGTGTTCTTGTTAGTAAGGGCTATAAAAAGACCAGACTCTCTTCACAGGGAAAATCCAAGGACAAAACTATAAAACTAATTAATTAATTACTAGTGAGACAGTAAACTCCACAATAAATTAACAAAACATGTGCTAGCTAATTGTGTTATATAGGAATAAACCAAAAATGAAGAAAATGTTAAAAAACTTCATAGTCTGAACCAGATCTAGAATTAATTTTCAACATGAACAGACTAAAAGGAATGTATTATTCTTTCTATAATTAAATAAACTAGCAACTAGCAAGTGTTAAAGATTTTTTTTGTGTCAATGTATAACAAGACCAAGTATGAGAAAATTTTAAAAACTTTAACCAATGAATGTTCATGTTTATGGAAGAGCTATACTACCAGACTTACAGACTCCTGGAAGAAAGAAATCACAAGCAAAGTCCCTGCTCAGATGAAGTGAGAAGTCAACCAGGCTAATAAAAATGTGGCAGTTTATCTTGACTGTCAACTGAAAGACACAAGGAGATCAGTGAAGCACACTAATTTCCTGGGTGGCATCTAAGTGTTATCTGGAGAATATAGCTGGTCCCTGGCCCTTTCCTCTTCGGCTCTGTCTAATCTGCTCTACTTCTTGCCTGGCATGCCCTGCTGTGGAGCTTATCATGAACTAAACCTCTGAAATAATTATCCAAAATAAAACTCTTTTTTTTCTTTAAGTTGCGGATATCAGGTGTTTTATCCCAGTGTAGGAAAACTGACCAATATACAAGTTAACTCAGGTGAATGCTAAGACTACGAAACAAAAAATAGGGTAATGGGAAAGAGAGTCACTGAGGTAATAGGGGCTTTGGTATGTAAGATTAGATAAATTTTCACACTAGATAAGTTGGAAAACTTATGCAAAGGAACAGATAATGGGTATTTTAGGTTCTGAGCACCATAAAGTCTCTGTTACAAATATTCTTCACTGCCACAGACAATACATGAATGAATGTGGCCATGTTCCAACAAAATCTTCTTTACAAAACAAAGAGCAGGCCAGAACTGACACACGGGCATTAGATGGCTGAATTGTGTGTTGGATGATAATTTCTAATTTCTATCCAATGAGAAATGTCAAACATTAGTAAAGTCTGTTCATCAACCAATTGGAGGTTAAATTTCTGACACTAGTATTTCCTTCTAAAACATATGCTATTAGAATAGGGACCAAAAATGTGAATCAGTACAATTTCAAGGCCTCTGCTGGAGGGCATTGCCTTTGTCTTTTTGATTCAGAACCATTATCTTGCTATACAGAGACAGCTCTTTCCACATTAAGTAGGAAATAGGATTTGGAGGATAAGATGCAGTGAAAAGAGCTGCAAATAACATGTTATCTATATTCTATCAGTTCTGTCACCAATTAGGGGGGAATTACTTGGCACTTTCCCATTTCCAAATTCATTGGTTTCACAGAAGAAAAGGATTTCTAGAGTTTCTTTCAGCTGTATCATTCTATAATTCTGACACCATTAATAGTGCAATATTAGAAAAACATCCTAGAACAGTGATAGTGATCCGTTTAGAGCTCTCAGTGATAACAAACAGCCCAATGCAGCATGTATGTCATACCTTTGGCACCACAGTCCTAGAAAATGTAACATGGAGGAAAGTGAGAATAAGTGCTCAGTACAAGTCTGCTAAATTGCAGGAAAGCACAGATGAGTAACACAGAATGTTGGTGAGAATCTACAGGTCACAAAGGGAAGCAGCATGATCTATGGTATGAGTATAGAAATAGACATGTCGTACTTAGAGCAAGCCTCCCCCTGAATAAGGAAAGATGTGACATGCAAATCCTATCTTAATGTGAAATTAAAGAACAGAAAATGTCTGACAATTCCAATGCAACTTTCAGGAAACTCCAAAATTCTTACCTAATAAGCATAAAGTATGCAGGCCATTTTGTCTGTTCTTTTCAATTTTGTCAAAGAAACTCTCTGGTCTCCAACTGTCTGTCCAAAAAACAATAGAAACTGTCTCTCCAAAATTATACAGCTAGAAAAAAATGAAAACATTAATGACAAACAATTTATTACTATTTCTTAGATACAGAATTTAAACTCGTATTTACAACTGTAAAGTCACTTGAAAAGGCCACAGATCCAGTCTGCCACAGAAAAAACAACTTCACAGGAGCGGGTGTCTTTATGATACCCCTTCTAGTAGTTAAGTTTATAGTGGTTCTGCATTCAGTATGGGAATACAGAACCAGTATAGGAATACAGAACCAATTTATAATAACCAATTTATAATTTAGCTTCACAGGACTAAAATTATTGGGATACATAGTATGGAGAAGAAAAAATATTACACTCAGATGTTTCACAAGATTAATGTTACTATTCTCATTTTATAGATAAGTTCACCATGGAAAAATCAGCTGACTATCTAATGTCACACAGCTAATGAGAAATAAAAAAAGAAACAATTATCTTAGGTTTGAGAGAATGTTCTTTTCCATTATATTATCTCAATAAATTTCACAAATTACAAACTCCAACCACTGCTCAAAATCTATACCTTCTTAATTTACAAGACTCTAGTAATTCTCACATGCTAAAGGTCAAGGTAAAGTGTTGGGTAGGGACCGGGCTATGTGAGAGTTCAGTAGGTGACCACAGTGCTCTGATGACAAGGTAACGGGGCCAAGTGCATGGGGTCTCACTCCCTATTTTAGGACAATAACTATGAACCTTAGAGATAAGACAGTTCGCTTAACTGGCAAAATATACTGTTGGAAGTATTTTTATTCTAACTTCTCAAAATCCTGCTCATTTTCCCACCCTTACCTTGGTGTTTCCTTTCATTTTTCTTCACAACCCCCTCTCCCTCTGCCCCAATATGCCCGAAACTCAGTAAATACCAGCTGTGCAGAGAAGTCTTTGTCTTAGCCCAAGAGAGTCCTGATCTTCCTGCCCCCCCCCCACCACATTACTTTCTTCTTTTATTTAAGCCTTGACTCTGTACTCCTTTTAGGAGATCAGGGCCTCTGGCCAAGTCCTCAGTAGATAAGGGGATTTTCCCAAATCTTTTCCTTTCTGCCCCCAGGGCCACCTTACTTCACCATCACCATAATCAAGAAGGTTGCTTCTCTGCTCTAGGCTGGCTGCACCAGGTCACTTAAATGAGTTCAACTCTAAATCTAATGTGGACAATCATGTTTTTCTTTCTTTAAATTCTGGCTTTGCAACTTGTTTGTTGTGTGACATTAGTCCTAGTCTATAAGAGCTGATCTAAAAATATACTGTGCTTAATAAAATGATTGAAGACATGTTGCCATTAATCTCAAGACATTCCCCCTCCTTTAGAACACAATTATCCTATCATTTTTGACACTTTTTGAAGCAGTTCTAGAAGTCCTCTTTCATATCTGTATGAAACATGATAAAAAATGCAGTGAATGTTGCTGCCATGTGCTGCAGATGAAAAAGCAGGCTTGTAAAAATATTACAGCATGTCTTCATTAAGCTCATTCAGTGGCTCTGGCAGTGTGTGACTTCTGCACTTCCCTAAGATCAAACTGACTAGGGAACAGTTTGAACAGTTCAGAACATTAAGGCAGCCACGAAGAGCACAACTAAAGACACCCACAAAAGATTTCCAGAACTGCTTCACAATGTGACAAAAATGATGGGCCAAGTATGTTCGAAGCAAGAAGAACTATTTTGAGGGGTATTAATGGCAATGTGTCTTTTACTGTATAAATGTTTAAAGTTCAAACAATCAGTGCATTTTATGATCACATCTTATATGTCCCTAAAGTAGAAACAGTCGATAAAATACTGTTCTTCTGATACCTAAAGGTTGTAAGAATCAAATTACATTGAAAAGTCAAATGTGATATGAAATCCTAATTGTAGTTCACATCTAAGCAATGTGCAAGGCAGACTTATTTTCAAAAACAAGGTACAAATAATATTAGACTTTAATGCTTGGGTTAGGGATGTGCTCAGTAGAACAGTGTCTACCTTGCATAGGTGAGCCTCTGGGTTTCACCCCCCAGTGCCACAAAATGAATGAATGAATAAATAAACAAAATTTTTAATTCAATTTAAGCAATATTTGAAAGAGTTTATAATACACCTGGGAAATACTAGACAATGAAAAACAAACATAGTCCTCTGTCACAAATTAAACATGTGCCTGAAATAGCTATAAGACTTTAGGAAGTCACTCAGCTTTTTAAGCTTTATGCTCTTAATTTGCTTTTTTTTTTTTTTGTCTTTTTCCTTTTTATCGGTACCAGGGATCGAACTCACGACTGCCTGCTTGCAAGGCAGGCGCTTATGCCACTGAGCTAAATCCCCAGCCCCTATGCTCTTAATTTGAAAATGAAGAAACTGGTCAGAGGCAGAGACAAGACATCCTTCGTTTCTAGTAAGCAGCCTAAGTAAGATTAGTTTCAGAGTCTGCTGCAAGAGGTGATGGGGAAGCAGATAGAAGGAAACAAGAGAAGGTGTGGCATGCAGTACTCTTCCTCCCACATCCCCTGAGAAACCTGACATGCCTCAGGTTTTGTGCCTTGAAGTCTTGAAAACTACAATGATACTTCTAATGGTATCTCTGAATTCAAAGAGAAGGTTCATTGCTTTCCACACAGGCTACAGCCTCCACCTCACCTATCAATTGGGTTTATTCCCATATCTGTAAAGCTATCCTAAATACAGTATTCACCTAGAAAAGCTGTGTATTCAGTAGCCATTCTGTTCACAGAGCAGTGGACAAGATCCATGTAACTCCGGGTACTCAAAATTATGTATCTTCTTGCCACATGTAACAAGACTTTTTTATGAAAAATGTTATTTTGCATTACAGTATGGAATCATCTACTAGCAGGTTCCATGCTAGACATCAGTTTAAAGTAGCAAGTCAGAGCTCTAACCCTTACCCCGGACATCTTAACCAGCAGGCAAAGGGCCTGGAATTGTAGCACTGGTTCTTACCAGCTGGCTGATCATAGATAGGTCAATAACGTCCCAAATCTTGGGAAGAATTCACCTGCAAAATGAATACAATAACTATAAACCTAACAACATTGATTTTTAAGGGTTACATAACAAAAACTATGTAGAGTGCTTCTTAGTGCTTTACATATTGTAAAGCCTCAGTAAATGACAGCTATTTGATGATATAATAGTGATTTTAATAATGATGATATAAAGATGTTCTAAAATGCTGTGCCCTGATATAACTCAACTGCTTCCTTTACTAGAGCTAAAAATATCACCACATCAGAAATGATTTAATTCTGATGTGCCTAACTACATAGATGCTTTAAAAAAAAGGGGTGGCCAGAGATTTAGCTCAGTGGTGCAAGTGCTTGCCCACCAAGTGCAAGGTCGTGAGTACCATCCCTGTCACCAAAAACACATAAAAAAAAAAAAATAAAAAAGCATTTTTATCCTCTCTGATTAAATTCTGAAATATTACATTATTTTAAAAACACTATTAGAAAACAGGCTGGTCCAGGGGGCTGGGGATTTAGCTCAGTGGCATAAGCACCTGCCTTGCAAGGTTCAATCCTGGTACCAATAAAAAGGAAAAAGACAAAACAAAAAAAAAAAAAAAAAAAAAAGAAAAGAAAAGAAAACAGGCTGGTCCAATGGCAGTGGGTTTTCAGGACTTATTAACATTAGTGTCACTAAAGTTGGTATACCACCCCCCCCCACTGCTAAATTTGACTGGCTTTAAAAAAAAAAACTATTAAAATTATATATGCAATTACACATAAACACTTTAAATTGTGATGTAAGTCACATGGAAGCACTAACTGAAGCACTCTGTGAAAAAGCACCTTTTGAATTATTTAATTTAGGAAATTAAGGAAAATCTCACATAAGCACTGCTTTCTAGGGCTCTGACTTATAAACTGTAACCACTTCTGTGAGTATGGTACGAACTGCTTCAATGAGTTCTAGAACATTATGCCAACAGTTTCATCCTTTACATGTCAGTGCAGAACTTCAAGGAACAGAAGGACCAGTTCCTTGTGTTTCACAATCAAAATGCTTACCAGTAATCTATAAAAAGAAACTAGAGGAAAACTGTACAGTAATGAGAATTGAGATTGCAGAAGCCTAAATATTGAGGTGTCCTCTAATGTAAGCCTTTCTGATACAACTATTTCTCTAAAACATTATTGTTGGAAATTTAAAGACCATAAAATCAGCTGTTTCCCAAGAAACAATAGGTAGAGACAGGCCTTTTTAAATTTTAACTTGAAGTAACTTATAAAGTAGTTTATCTAACTTCACATTTAGCTTAAGTATTATCTAGTAAAGAAAAAAAACCAATAAAGCAAAAAACTCCCAACTCAAAATCATACATTCATTACAAATAAAGACATTAACCAGTTAGAGTGAGAAAGTACACAAGAAAAACTAATACTAATTGTAAATAATAATTATTAAATTATGAGAGTCAGCATTGCCTTCACTAAAGGACCATCTTACGGTGACTTCTGAAAAGACAACATTATGACCTTGATCTTAATTAAAGGACAGTTAAGATTTACAAAGAAGTTGTGCATAGGGGAAGAATAAGAAAATATAAACTAAGTAAGAGAATGGCACTAAGCAATTATCTAGAAATAGCAAATACACCTGACTTGCCGCTCATGTGCGCTTCTAACTCCTGACACTTTTCTCAGTGCCAGTCCCTGCTAACCGCAGGTATAACAGAAGCTGACAACGCATTTCATCCCTGCTATCTTGCTTGCCTCCTTGATAGACCTTGATAGCTTAATAGTCTCCTAACATCTCCCTCCACTAATATTTCCTTTCTTTCAGATGCTTTCTAAGTCTCTATTTTATAATTAGGCTTTAACGCTTTTGTTATTTGTGTTACAAATAAAAATATTTTCTATGGTTTTTAAACTTAAAATCTGTTAAATTAAGATATACGTGGAAAAATTAGAAAACTTTAACTTTTAAAGAAATCTAGTAGGTTTACATATATTTCACACACACACATTTTTTTTCATTTTGAGACAAGGT